AACGTTATCGGTTAAATCTGAGATTATTTTATAATTATAGATTAACAAGGGACGAATTTTATCTGGCTAATCTCTTGTTTTAATTACAGATTCTACTAAGTTCACATATAAGTAGATTATCCTCATTTTCGAGCTTAACACCCTAATCTGAATATATGCCTGAAGCATACCAATAGGTGTGTATCATGAACCAATTAAAACTGATCTGGCGGTTGAGAAGGAGCCATTTGTAATAGCAATTGAGAAAAAAGTGCGTGACGTTCGTAATTTTGAAGTTTTCTATTTCTGTTTTGCTACTTTCTTTATGTGTATTTTGTCGGTGGTTTATGTCAATGATTTTTAAGTGATTTATTGTGCAAATGTAATTAAAATGAAGTGCGCGGTGATTGGATGCAAAAATAATAAATTTAATAATAAGTTGGTTAGCACAAACATGTGCACAACATTGCTTGCATTTTTCTTTATTCTTCGTCTTCATATTCTTTGTTTACTTTTCACAGAAAATAACATCGCGCCGAAATTACAAACGTCAGCCAGAAGATTACTTTTTTCTTTTGCTTCATCTTGTCAGATCTTGGGTAGTTGGATCCATGATAAAAAATAGGAAGGTAGAACCGCTGAGAGGAATTTTTCATATTCTTGACGTTTGCAAGCATTTTAATTTTAAAATTTTACACACAGACTCACACACACATTCTCATTTTCAATCTCAAACAACAACAACTTTGAACAATTAATTTCTTTTACTCTCAATTTTATATGATTTTAAAATGTTGGCAAACTTCAAAAAAAGATCATGGCCGACGAATTGAGAGAACGGTTTTACCTTACTATGTTTTATCATGGTAGGATCATGGGTGTGTACAGTAACAAATATTCAGGTCTAATTTGTAAAATGTATAATAACCCAAAAAAATTTGCAAGAGACCACTGAATCTAGAATGTAATAAAAAGGGAGAGCTGCAAATGCTTGCTAATGAAATTGTTTGTTGAACTGGTTAAGCATAAACAAAAGTAAAATGAGTGGAAATCAAAATATTAGGTTTTTTCCATACGAGGCCGCGGGGATCCGCGGGTGCCCAAAACAGCCCAGAAAGCGTTCCTAACGCTAGAAACATGGGTATTAGAGCATGAACCAAAAATATGTCGTTCGTTCATGGTAATAGGGAGCGAATATCTTCTACTTTTGGATCGTAAATTTCTTCTTCTTCATGCGCGAAACAGCCCGGTTTTTTCCGGGAAGAAATTTGGAAGAAGTCAATTTGAAATAACAGCTGTTTGTTTACATCCGATAGGAAATTTTGTAAAATACAAAAATGGGGAATACCACCAAGGGTTCATAAGTGTAGGTATTTGCTGATTTTATTTGCTATATAAGATAAATACAAATAAAATGGGTACTGTTTAGTAAGAGGCCCACCTATTTCGGGGTATTGCGTCCAAAGGGGTGACCCGATCCAAAAAAAAATTCCACACACTTGTAGCCAAGGGTCTACCCATTATTTTAACATCCACTATTGTAATTTTTGGTCACTAATTTATTTACAAATTGGGTTTGAAATATGCTCGTTTTTGTAAAATTCGGAAATAAGCGTACATTTATCACTCCTATTTTCCTTAAAGCAGCCACTTCACCAATGCATTTTTATATTCTCCTTCGCTTTAAACTTTATTCGACTTGTTATAACTTTCTTTATTATTTTAATTTTAACCTATCAATCACAATTTATTAAATAAAAAGACCTTCAAAACCACGCGTCTGCCTTTGGTTGCATATGCAAATTAAATGGCGGCGTTTAGCTGTTAAACTGCTAAATATACAAGAAGGATGAGAGACAAAAGAAAATAGGATGTAACCCTGTAAGCATTAAAAATATACAAATGGTGTTCTCTGCAAAAGGTGTTAAGCTCCTTTTCTTCACAAAAAAGAAAGGAGAATTCTACTGCCTGAGGGTTATAATCCCTAAGTGCGGCCGAAGGCCGCTTACGCAGAAAGTTGTTCTCTGCAAAAGGTGTTCAGCCCACCTTCTTTGGCAACACAGAAAGGAGAATTCTACTGCCTGAGGGTTATAATCCCTAAGAGCGGCCAAAGGCCGCCTACGCAGAAAGTTGTTCTCTGCAAAAGGTGTTCAGCCCCCTTCTTTGGCTACACAGAAAGGAGAATTCTACTGCCTGAGGGTTATAATCCCTAAGCGCGGCCGAAGGCCGCCTACGCGGAAAGGTGTTCTCTGCAAAAGGTGTTCAGCCCCCTTTCTTTGGCAACACAGAAGAGAATTCTACGTAGTGAGGGTTATAATCCCTAAGTGCGGCCGAAGGCCGCCTACGCAAAATGAAGTTCTGCGATAACATACTATCATATTACTATTACTACAACATTTCTATCTGTCGCTTTTTTTCTTAATTTCACAATATTTTTAGTTAATTTTTTTCCAAAATTTTTTTTTAGTTATTTTTTTTTTCAAATCGCCTGATAACCAACTTGGGATAATTTCTTTTATTTAAAAATCCCACGGTTTTCGTTAGTTGGGTTATATTCCACTTCAAACTGTTCAGTTTGCCTCGGAAAATGCCGTTTTTACCCACGGTGCAGCGAACAGAGGTGGCACCGTCAGTGGTACCGCTACTTTGGTTTTGCCGATTTTTACAGTTGTGGTAACTTGTAAACAAACCTTTGTTTACAAATGAGCTAAAGAGAAATTTAATTATATGTGAAAAATCAGTTTAAATTGTGTTAATTTGCAATTTGTGAGTGATTTTTGAGTTGAAGACTGCGTAGAAACTAGTAAAATGAAGTGCTGTGTGTTAAATTGCGACAGCCGTCAAGATGCAAGATGCGTAGATGCAAGTGTAGCGCTGGGACGAATCGCTGCATTTTGTGTACATAGGGCACGGCAAAGCCGTTCCCGAAATGTTTATTTATTATTACATTAACAGCATTTCCTCACAATGATTTTGCTTCTGCTCCAAGCAGCCTCCATTAGCAAGTTAACTAATCAATCCCGCTGAGATGCTGCCGCAGTCTGCAGCAGTCTTAATTGCGAAACAATGGAGTGCACTAAAACGTTTGCTGAAGCAGCCTCAATTGCAAAGCAATGGAGTGCACTAAAATGTTACCTATTCTCTAATAGATTAGGTGAAAAATGCAATATTTTCGCGTTTAGCAAAATTAAAACACGTTTTTCGCTGTAAAGTGAACTGTTTTGAAAGTTTTAACTCGTTCTCCTTTTCGCTCTATTCTTTGTTTACTTGTGGTACACAAATGTCAACGCCCAGGACGGCGCAATCTTGTTTTCTATCATTCTTGGTTTTTACCCCATTTTCAAACGGTTCCCTAGGGGTCTGTGGGAGGTCCCCAAGGGAGGATGGGGCTTTTCGTAAAGTGGCGACTGTCCCCTTTCGAATGAGGGGGGTTTGGGGGCCACACTGACACTTGTGAGAGAGTAACTTATTTTTACGCTCTAATTACCGAAAGAGCCCGGAAAGTGTGGAACCAACCTGTTAATGATGAACAGGACTGTGTCAGTGTTTGTGGGTAAAGCCAAGATTTTAAAACTGATTTATAAATAGTGCAATGTTACATCAGAATGTCAAAACAGTGCAACTGCAAGTTTTTACTTGTTTTGGGCTCAATAACTTTTTCTGCAAGTTTTCTGTTCTTCTCAATTTTACGCTGTATTCTGCTTTTACACTCTCGCTGCAGAAGCTACTATATACACCTACTTTTGAATGCTCAATTTGGTTGTCTTTCCAAAACGTTTTTGCCTATCAAAAGCTTTGTAATGCAGCGTTTTTGCTGCATTTAAAATTCAACATTTAGCACTTTCGAACATATGTTTTCGAAGAGCGTTCATGCTATCGCATTTAGCAAATGTACATTTACGCGAGTTCGAAATCGTATGCTTTTGACAAACAGCCGTGTTCCAGTCGCTTATTCAGATCCGTAACTATTACGATCAATTCTCACGCAGAAGATAATGTGCAAAAACCCTACTGAAAAGGAAAAAATAAATTTTAAACCGAAACTTCAATACAAAAATTTGAATTGTTTTAACCATGACCGACCATTTGTTTATGTATATATTCATTTGTCGGTGCTGTCAATTAAAATTTCCTCACTTAATTAGGAAACAAAACAAACAGAATTGATCACAAATTGATCCAGATTTCTATCAGCATCACATCGATATTGAGTTTTCTTAACTTTTCTTTATCCAAAAAATGTAAAATAATAAATGAAATCTCGATCGGCGATCACTGAAACGCAGCTAGCCACTGTATACTCGAAATTGCAATGTTGCCACTTTTTCTCATTAAACCATGTTCGAATCCATGAACGAAAGACACAAGATCACGTAAGAACAAGAGAGTGAAAAAAGTCGATTTTTTTGGGCGGGTTCTACGCCATCTTGTTTCACTGGAAAACGAGCGAAAAGTAAACAAAGCAAAGAAAACAACGAAAACAAAAATTAGCCAAAATTATTGTCAGCCACTTTAAACGCACAATTTAGGTAAAATGATGCAACAAAATGCTTTAAAATGTGTTGTCATGTTGAATTAACTCTTCTTTACTTGAATTAAAGTGTAAAATAGTGGTGCTTGTGATGTAAACAATCGCTCAGCTGACGAACCCGCTTTCGCAAACTTTTTTCTCAAAACCAGTTACAAATACAACGTCGCGTTCTTACGTTATCTTGTATTTTTGGTTCATGGTTCGAATCGTGGAAGATCACAGGGTTGCTTATACCATTAAGATTCTTAATGCAAAAATGGAGTTGCATTTAGTTTCATTTAGGTGACGAATTTTGTATGGATAAATGTACATTTAGAGTAGCATTTAAAGCTAAATGCGCTAAATGTGCTTTTACGCGTAAGCAAAAACAGCCTATAAAACCCAAACTAGGAAAGGAAAATGAAGCTACCAATTTTGGTTCAATTGGAAAAAGTCGGCAACACTATTCTGAAGATAAACTCTAAAATATGAATATTAAACATACCTTTCGTCGATTCGTATACTCGTTGATGTGTACGTATCTTTTGTTCGTTTCTGTGTTCTGTAAGTGACGATTTTAGTAAAACATATATTTCAATTACAAAGTATTTACTTGCAAATCTCAATCGAGCATTGTTTTAATTTTAACAAAAGTGTTTCCTGTTTATATTTTTAATTATTTAAGAGGTAATTAGCTTCGATTTACGATACATGTTTGATAAATAGTTTTTCTTGCAGAACAGTTCAATAAAATAATATACAGCAAATGTCATCAAGCGTATCAGATCAGGTATTATTTATATTGGGAAAAGGATATAAAGTTTTAATTGTATTGCAAACTGTCTCACTTGCGTTTATTTTTTTATTTTTCAGATGAAAGTGCCCGGAAACACAGGTAATATTCGCATACAGCGTATCAGATGAAAAATACATGGGTGGTTAATTAAAAAGTTTAAAATTGAACATCCTAAAGTTTATATTTGTAATTTTCATTTACGTATGCCGTGTTTTCGTGTTTTTTAAGTAAAACCTGTAGAGGAGCGAAACATCCCATGGAGTCAGCAAGTTGATGAAGCTTCTTACGAAAACTTGTCATCCCCTGCAACTGATGAAAATACATGTATGTTATTAAGTATTTTAGTATAGCTAAAATTTATTTATAAAATTTAAGGCTCCCACCAGAGTTCAATGCAGTTTCAATTTCCGCCATTTATTGTAAAAGAAAGCCAAAATGTCTCCTGGAGCAACCAAAAATCTAGAAAAACAAGCAATTTTGGTAAGTTTTTTTTTAACAGAATTATATGAGAATGATTTAAACGTAATATCTTACTATATTTACACAAGATCGGGAAATGTTTAGCTATTTGTACAACGATTTAGAGGGGGTGGTGGAGGGGGAGGAGCGTGGCGTAATGAAGAAATTTAGTGGCTGCTTTAAGGCAGAATAAGAGTAATCAGTGTACGTATATTTCCGAAATTTGCAACAAAGGCCATATTTCCAACCGAAAATATTAAATTAGTACGCAGATTAAGTAAATTAAATTTTTGTAATAAAGCGTAAACTGTTGTCTACAAGGTTTTTGATTTGATTCACTCGGTTTGGCAAAGCAACCCAAAATCGTTGTACAAATTCATAAAGAGTACCCAAATGATCTATATACAAATCTGCATTTTATAAATCCTATGAACACAAAATGCTTGGGCTAGCTGACATTTTATAATACATTTATGTAGGATACCGAGTGGGTTTTCTGCTATAACTTAACTTTTATTTGACTTTCACAAATACACAGATTCCTTACTGTCTATGCTACGTATAACGGATGGCAGGCAGGCAGGCACTCACGCGGCGACGGTCGACAACGTAATGGTTTTATGTTCTTTTCGCTACAGTTAGGTCAGCCATCAGTGGCGTGCGTTCGTTAAATTCGGTCAGTAGGGTTGCCTATATTTAAGGACTAACGTCAGTGTTGCCGTCTACTCGGACCCAATCCCACATTCGGCCCTCCTGACCGATCATTCGGCTCGAATGATGACACGCTTGGTGGCTCGACGGCCGGCTCCCATTTCTTCATATATTCGGCGACTGTTGTAGTATTCCCGGGAACTTCATGGTCACCCACCTTCCGTACCTCATATCTGTCGTGGCCCAAGACCTTCGTAATTTTGTAGGGGCCCAAAAACTTTGGCTTCAGCTTAAGACCAACACCGTATTGTGTCCGCTTAATGGCTACTAGCTCGTTGATCTGGTACTTCACCGCTTCTTTCCACTTCTTGTTAAAAGATCGACGATTCTCCTGCTGGATCTTGTTGATGCTTTCCCGCGCTTCCTTTCGCAACTCTTCCCGCTCAGTGTCCAACTCCTCGATGGCGGCGTCCTCTAAGAGCTGCCGCCATTCAGGGATGACGTTAACTCGCATCTCGACTCCCGTTAACAGCCTGTCGGGTGAAATCTTCGTACTTTGCGGCGGCGTGCTATTGATGGCTTGTTGGACCCGCTCAAGATGTTTGTACCACTGACTGGGATCGTCGACGCACATTTTCGTTAGCATCGAGATGATTATTTTGTGAATACGCTCCACCTGCCCATTTCCTCTTCCAGAAGATGCTGTATTCCTTCGTGCTCGCAGTATTCTCTGAAGGAATTCGAAGTAAAAGCCGCGCCGCGATCCGAGATGATGCGTTTCGGATTCCCAAACGTCGCCGCCTGCCACTTCAACTGGTTTATGACATCTGCTGCCGTGGTTTTTGATGCGTAGAGCCACACTAACTTTGAGAAGGCGTCCACTACAACGAAGATGTAACTATATCGCTACGACGTCATTTCCATTGGCCCCAGATGGTCGATGTGGTAGGTCCCTAGTGGCCTATCTTCTTTGCTTATTGGCGCCAGATAACCCTCCATCCTCCCTGACTTGCTCTCCGCAACGATGCACTCGACGCATCTCTTCACTATTTTCGCCGCTTTCGTAGACAACTGTGGGATGTAGAAAGTCTTCTCGACTGCTTCTTGCGACTTTGATAATTCCATCCTCCATCGACTCAAAAACGACAATCAGTTCCTTAATGGGATCTTTGTGCAATACCTGGTGCTTTATAAAAAAGTCCTCATACTCATCCTTCTCAAGTACCTTCATAACCGCCTTGATCCATGGGTCCATCATCTGCGCTTGTTGCAGTCGATGCTGCAATGAATCTTCCAACAGCAAGCAGGAAACTCGGCTTAAGGCGTCGACGTGTCTCATCTTGCTTCCACTTCTGTGTTCGATTTCGTAGTTGAAATCTTGAAGGAATAACGCCCAACGGGTGACTCTTAATGGAGTGTACCGCTTCCTCATCGTCATCGCGAACGCGTTACAATCCGTAACGATTTTGAATTTCATCCCCAGCAGATAGACACGCCACTTCTTGAGTGCCCCAACAATGGCCAGCACTTCCAGCTCATAGGAATGATATTTTTCTTCAGTTTCTGTTGTTTTCCGGCACATGTATTGTATGGGGAGAAGGACTGCCCCATACCCATACATCGACGCATCCATGTGCACCTCCGTCATCGCCTTGGGATTATACAACCGCAATACTGGAGCCTTCACCGAGGCCGCCTTCAATTGTTTGAATGCCAGCAGCTGCTCTTCGGGGCATCGGGAAATTGTCCCTTACTATCTTCTCGTTGCTCCTCCACGATGCGCTTGTCTGCGTGTGACATACGTTGTGGCCCCGCGTATACTGGTGTTTCGTCGGCCAACAAAATTTTCGTCTCCACTGGCGTTTTGCGTGTCTTCCTCGGCGCATAGCTGCTAACCCACTCCCTTACAAGATTTGCCTTCTCCTTGCTGAGATGTGACAAATCCAGCTCGGGCTCGCTCCTCTCCATCACTGTTACGCATAGTCCATCAAACTCGTTCCATAGATCAGGTTCTGTTTCGATAGTTGCTACCGCGTTGTTGCTGGTTTCTTCTGATGTCTTCATTTTCGGCTTAAATTCAACTAGATCCTCGTAAACGATTAATGTTACCTGTTTCAGGATGTCGTTACCGATCACTGCTGCATACTTCATATCGCGTTCCCTGGTCACATGAAACGTGATTTCCAACTCCATATCGTCGATGATAAACGCTCTAGTGAAACTACCTAATGTTGTTAGCCCGCCTTTCCCTACTCCTACCAGACGACGTCGATCGCCGACCAATTCAATATCACTATCAAGCATGAGCAAGGTGTCAACCGCAGTAAGCACAGGTCACACCCTGTATCGACTAGAGCGGAGAATGTTATATGGTTCCGCTTAACGTTTACGAAGATGCATCTGCCCGATTCTCCTATCCTGCCGCGTATATCATCTCCTAGAGTAGTGCCATTGTGGCTCTCCATTTTGATAGCAGCTGGAGCGCTTCTACAGTCAGCAGCTCGGTGCCCTGGTTGTCCGCACCTGAAACATTTAAACGATCCGCGACAGTCCTTGGCCAGATGAGAAGTGCTTCCACACTTAAAGCACCTTCTTGCCTCCTTAGCGCGTGCAATGGGGTTGACAGAAATTCTGCTTCTGACGGTCAGCTGATTTGGATTCATTGGTAGTCGCTTGCTGTCGGTTAGACCGTACCTTTTCATATACGCTTATCTGCTCCTTGAGTTCCGCTACGGTTTTGGCTTGATACAAGTTAATCTTATTTTGTTTCGAGTCGGGGATGCCATCGATAAAGTACTCAATGAGACTCATATCGTCCAGCTTCACTGGTTTCCCGATCTCCACCAAGGAGTAGAGGTATTCTTTAAGGTCCTCGTTGTTGTGCTTACAGCGGTTCCGTAACATGCGATGCACCTCTAACGACGATACCTTAGCTCCAAATTCCGATATCAGTGCTTGCCTCAAGGAGTCCCAGTCGGTGACATGGCGCTGACTGCGTATAAAAATTTTGGCGGCTCCTTTTAGCAGCTGTTTAGCATATATAAATTTTTGGAGCCCGTTCCAATTAACTGCGGTAGCGTTTTGCTGGAAATCTTCCAGCCATTCCTCAACCTGCGGCTGACCCGACCCACTGAAGGACGTCAACGAGTCTTCTATATCGCGCAATGTGAAGCAGGTACGCTCATGAAAGCTATTTGGCATTGCCCTTGATGGGGACGAACCAGCGTTATCATAAACGGAAGCTGCATCGACATCACCACTAGTGTCATCATCTTCGCTATCGGCATTCAGACCGAAGTGCACAAGGAGTCGGTCCTGTAGCGTGACCTTACGTCCCGTAGTAGCCAACCCTAACTCCAACAACCTTTGCTTTAGCCCTACAACATTCAATGCTAGAATTTCGCTTCGCTCCATTGTCGACCCTTACCACTTACAAAGTGCTTCAGAACAGGTACAAAATAAAATATTTTACAAAACTAGTTAGGTTTTCCGATAAAATATTCTGTGCCGCCGATATGCCTGTACCGTATGATAATTCTAAGTATTGGGTTTACAAATTTTATATATATATTTATTGTTATTAAATTCTTTTTTTTCAAAATACACACTAAACAGATTAGGAATATACTGCACCGTCGACAGTCTAAAAGTTTACATATGCTCTTTGTTTAAAATTTTCGCAATTTTGCGTTGTGCTTGTAATCCCAAAATATGAAAAAGAATTGTTTTACACTAACATACAAAGTACAGTTGATTAATTGATTTAGTGATCAATACAATGAATACACATGAAATTATAAAAGCGTCTACTAGCTAAACAATTTCAAATTAATTTTACTTAGCTTCGCTCCACTGTGCTGCTAGCCTGTATGAAATGCGTTGATTTGTTCGACCTCTGCTCTTCTTCCAACCTTCAACTGCAACCTCCACTTCAGCCGTTCGAGAAAACACTATCTTCCTGCCTTTCTAGCCACTACTTGGCTACAACAACGACCGCAACACCCAATGCAGGTTCGATGCAACAACTTTCGACTGCTCCTGTTGCAGTTTTGGATACAACTTCGACTATTTCGTACTCTTCAATGCAACTACTTCTGCATAGTACTTCACTTCAGTCGAGCTCTTCTGGTTTCATGCAATTTCGAATATTTCGCCGCTTTGATTGCGCAGCTGCAGCGCTGTTCAGCTCTGTTGTCGCCTCTGCCAACGAAGTATCGGCTTGCGTTAATGCGCCTGTACCTGCTACCGTTACCGCTGCCTTGCCTCTGCCACGGATACCGTTATTGCAAATTTTCTGCGAAGTAGATTTATTTTTCACAAAATTATGCTATTTTGTGACTTTCAAAAACTATTTGCACAATTTTGCCACTTTTAACCTCCGCAAAGTTTATTATTTCGCTAGTCTTTATTTGCGAACTTTTCCACTATGTACGTATGTACATGTGTATGTATTACACTTTTTAAACAATTTAAAAGTTTTTGCACGTGCGCTTACTGGCGCTGTTCCGTCCCTCTTCTTACACCACTTTTGTAGGATACCGAGTGGGTTTTCTGCTATAACTTTACTTTTATTTGACTTTCACAAATACACAGATTCCTTACATGTCTATGCTACGTAGAA